TTTTTTTCCCTCATTTTATTATTATTAAATGAAAGATTTTCATTCTTATTTATGAAGGCAAAATCAGAACAGTGAAGATTATTTTAAAGGAAGGAAAAAATGGATTTAAAGATGAGTCATATAGTTCTATTCACTGAAACTGCACCTCTTAATTCGTTGTTACATCTACAACTGCTTCATCTATAGAAGTATTCAGTTCAGAAATACACTTCTATATCTCTATATACTTATGCTTCTAAAAATACTATTCTTTTGGTGAATATTGTCAGCTAGAAAAAGGACCAGGCTCAGTAATTTGCAAATTTCTTGCAAAACATTGACAAACAAGTACAAGTACACACAAACCTGAAGAAACTAAGTTTCTTAGAAGCAGTACCTCCCCACTTCACATACTGGGGTTCCTTTTATTAAGCTAAAACATTAAAAGGACAATGGTATCAAATACACTTTAGAAAACTTTGAATTTCCCTCTTATAGAAACTATTTAAGAACATCATTATATTTACCAGGGCATTTTAACATCATTTGAGCTGCCACAGCTTAAATGTAGTGATCACTTTGCTCCTTTCTGCTCTTTTCATACACGTCTTAGTTGACCCATCTGGAGACAAGGGAGGGGAGGCTCTGTGAGGTGAGGCTGGGGCCTGGTACAAAGATTTGCTTAGCTTGGTGCATATTAATAACCTCCTCATCCCTCTGGTGCCCATTAGAATACTCCCATGAAACCCATCAATTCACTCTGAGGCTTTTATTCCCTAAAATAACGGCACTTTATTTACTAATTTCTCCCCAAGAACACACTCTAGACTTGCTCCAAATTATATATAAAATGCATCTTGGAAAGGACAGGGTACCATCCACCAATATATCTGGCCTTGCTAGAGAGACCTCTGCTAGAAGCCGAGGATGAGTAAAGAGGCCCTTTCAGGCAGAAACGGTTTGAGGCCATCTCTCACCATGCAAGTGCCTTTAGCTCTATCCCACTCGATTAAAGGGTCGACTGGTACCTTGTTCTTAACGCTTTTTTTACAAAAAATAAATAATCTGGTCCCTGTCTACCCCCAACCGCCTTACTCCTCTAGTTGAATTCTTTCTCCAAATTTGCAAATTTTCAGTCTTCAGAAAACAGACCATGTGCCAAATGGCGCACACACACTAAACCTCCACTCTGGTCTGTTTAAAAGGCTCATCCCATTTGCATTCACCAAGAGTAGCACACGTCCTCTCACGGGGCTGGGGCACCACTGCTTTGGAGCTAGTCTTTCAGCTGGTAATAAATAACTCTGCTGACTCGGAGGCAACTACTCCTATTCACCTCAGCTAGAGAACTATCCCCAGTGCCAAAATGTCAATCTGATGATCTATTTCCTAAAATTCCTTCTGGGCATTGATTCTTTTTTCTTCCTCCTTGATGCTGCTGCATGAAGCTGTTAGGCTACATTAAATGTTGCAGGCTGATTTCAGCAGTGAACATACTGATTGTTTATATCAGCTTTTGTGGGTAAACAGTGATCATTCAGCATGCGAAGACAGCGTATAATTGATGGATAATAAATACATCTCACTGATCACCCAGTGTCAGTGCTAAGATTATTTTGTTAGAATAAACTTAATATAGAGAGATCTCCAACTACACTTTATCTATCTGCAAAAATTCTGCAGGTATTTGATTATGTCAATATTTGACACTGTAATACAAAAGTTACACATAATTTTAAAAATTATATATCAGACACAGATATATTTCATATCTTATTTCAGCTGAACTTCACTATCCATTAGAGTGATTAATTTGGTGTGCATGTATGGGACAGAACTGGTATCCATCTTTTTACCAAAAAGCCGGAAGTGGAGCTTGACCTCTTTTGGCAAGTCTTCTGATGAGGTCACTTATCTCGACATGGGATAATTCCTATGCACCTATTAGATTAACTCTTTTAGGCTCCCCTCTTCCCCTCGCCCCAACATTAACAGCTTCTTTCTTTTTCTTCCTGCCTCGCTGTTCATATAGCAGTAAGATTTGGAGCTTTTTCTTCAAAAACAAAGAAATGTATTTTAGTGCTTATTTTGTAAAGTAATGAAAGTGTTCAACTATTCACTGCTCCTATCAGATCCTTTAAACTAGTATAGACTAACCAGTGAAGATAACAAGAACAAAAGGAGCTTAAAGTGGATGAGCATAGCTGCATATCAGTTATTGTTATGTTAGTTACAACATTTTGATTTCCATGACATTTTTTCTGTATTTCTGAATACTGTTTCATTAAAGTTGTAGTTATTCTTCAAGAATATCTTTCAGAGTTATTCCCTCTTCACAACTTCACAAAGCAATGACACAATGAACTGGCGAGATAACAAATTTTGCATGTTAAAGATTTAACCTTGGTGTCCTTAGATTCAGAGTTTTGCCTTAGCAGGGACTGTAGGACTGAACAACTAACACTACTACTTAACCTACTATTATAAGAATTTTTTTTTCTTCTATTTTTTGTGCTTATCTAATAGACATTTTGTTAAGCTATAGAGCTATAAGAGTTTTTATACTTTGCATTATGTTGTGGAAACAGCAAATGAAAGAAATTTGACTTTGGCTTTCCAGCACTTTGAAATATTCACTTTGAATTGTAAATTGTTTATAATACACAAAGAAACACTTTGTAAATAATAGAAAAGCACCAGAAATTAAATACAAATTGTAGTATTTAGTCTCGTCTTGCCACTGTTAACTATTTCAGTTCCACAACATGGTTCAATAAATCAAGCACACCGTTCAGACATTTATCCTAAAGGAATTAGAAAACAGCAGAAATAAATGAAGCTGTGACAACTACAAAAGGAAACCAGAGAAGGAGAGAAAAAAAAAAAAGGTGCTCCTCTAAGCACATGATAAAGCAGATGCTGTAAAACAACAAGGGGATAGCACTGTTTCTTCTTCAGAATTGATGATCGTTTGATAAACATCTATTCATGCTCCTGGAAAACCCTGTCCATCAGTGCATATCAGTACAAATTAATGATGACATGTCCTGATTAAACTTGCTGTGCTGTGAAATGTGATGTATTATCTGCATGGCAGTAAATGAACAAATGCTTGCAGGGAGTGAACAAATTAGTATATCCACAAATCTCAGGTTAGACCCCCAAGTCCTGCCCATGACGAAGGAGGTGTTTAATTGGTGAAATCAGCCAATTGTGCTGTGGATTTTGCAGGCAAGAACTTTTTGTTTTGTTCATTAAAATGAGACATCTAAATATTTCTGTAGAAGTATAATATATGAAATTACAAAATATTCAGTGATATTTCTGTAGCCTTCCACAAGTAAAACCTTAAATAATGTATGCCACATACATCAACAAGAAGTTCCTCTTAGGAATAAACTGAATGTTACTAATGCTGTAGGGGCAAGATCATAACATGGCCCAATTGGAACTTTGTTTGAGTGAAGTGATTTCTCAGTAAGGATTTGTGAGGTCATCTAAAGGTTCAATTTTTTAAGAGACAAAGAAAAATAATTTTAAATTTAGGATTTCAATGTCATTGAAAAAAAGTAAAAGCACTTTCACTTTACTAAAACATTTCTGACACAAGTGTTGAATAAGCCTTACTTCTTAAAAAGAAGAGCATTTTTGTTCAGCTGAACTTAGGCTACCTCCTACAATGGGTAGGTTACCCTTGGGAGCAAGTCTAGGACTTTGCAACCTATAGTGCTGAAATAAAGGGGTACTCAAGGCAGTAGGCAAAGTTGGCAGAAAGGAGCAATACTGATATTTCCTTTATACTTTTATTCATGGAACAGGCTATAATAAAATAATATCTTAGGAATCTTGGGATAAACATTTATTGAATCACTTTTAATACATAGCTTCCTCTGTAAACACTACCTAACATGTAAGTGAGAAGGAAAAATACATCAATTTCTAATCATTTCCCTGTCAAAAAAAAAAAAAAAAAAAGTAAGAAAATATTGCACAAGGTCTTCTCTGAAGCTTTTGTGTGTACATTAAGAAAGTCTAGGAGAACAAGCATTAGCCATCCAGGAAAATTTAAAGCAGCAAGGACTGCAACTACCTACAAGTCATTTAAAAATGCCTAGAAAGTTTCGGTCAAGATGGCATTTAATACAGACAGCAGCCTTTAAACTATTTTTAGATACTCTTCCTCAGCTTTCGTAAAAGGAGTCAAGGCAGGAGTGTATTAGAGAGAATAACAGAGTCACCAGTATTAAGTAGATTTAAAATAGGATGCTTGCTTTGGGAAGCAGGCTGAGAAAGTTGCCAAAACCCAGGCTATTTTTCAGGCAGTCAGTTCAGGAAGCTAGCATCAGGCTTGTGCTTTCCTTTACCTGGCCATAGAGGCTGTGACCTACTAATAGAGACTGACACAAAAGGTGCCTTCAGCTTGTAGACAGTCTCTATTCCTGAAAAATACAAGGTAAAAAATACTCTGTCTTTTTTTTTTTTTAAAGTGGACTTCATTTTATATATATATATATGTGTGTGTGTGTGTGTGTGTGTGTGTGTGTGTGTGTACACACACACACACATATACATACACACATATACATACACACACTTCAGAAATAAAGGCTTTAATTAAAGCTACCTTTTATACAATACATTACACTTCAGTGCTGTTGCACATTAATTTCCCCTGATTCCAAGTAATATCACTTTTCCCATTGGTGCTCACAGAGGCAAGAGAAAATTACAGGTGGGGGCAACAATACCAAGGTAGCTTAATGTATGACAAACTCTGCCTTTTGTTATCTCTTTTTAATATATATACTTCTTTACACTTGCAGATTTCTCCCAAAGTTATGGAATGAGCCTTAACAATGAGCATCTTCTCACTAAAGGAATGAAAACGATGCCATCACAGTGAATACAGCATATGAAAAGGAAGGAGTATATACTTCATCCCAGAAGTTAGCACTGCTGTCATTCTGTAGGCTATAGGAAGGCACTGTAAGCCATGGATTTGTCTTGTGACTTCATGTACTTGTATTTGGCATTTCATAGAATCATAGAAGCACAAGATTGGAAACGACCTTTTAGATCATCTAGTCCAACCATTGCTACCACAAGCTAAACCGTATCTCGTAGCTTGTCATCTAGGCGCCTCTCGAACACTGCCAGGGATGGCGACTCCATCACCTTCCTGGGCAGCCATTCCAGTGCCTGCCTGACCACTCTCTGTGAGAAAACGTTTTTCCTCATGTCTAACCTAAACCTCCTCTGGTACAACTTGTGGCCATTTCCCCGGGTCCTGTTTGTTGCCTGGGAGAAGAGGCATGTCATTGTCCATTGTCCACGTCCATGTCATTAATAGGGTAAAATGGCTTATATTTTTGCTCAAATCAAAAATCAAATGAAAAATGAAAAATCAAGCATATAGTATTTTTGCCTCTATCTAGATATTCTAGATAAGGCCTCCGGCAAAAATTAAATCTTAATTTACTTTCACATAGCCAGTTTCCATATAACATACAGGAGACGGAGGAAGAATTCTAGTCTATTCAGCATCTCTATAAAAATTTAGAAGTTTACAAGGTCTGGAATTTTTATTTATCTTAATTCTGCAATTACAAGCATTCATAGAACCCTAATGGGACAAAGACCTCACAGTTACTTCTACCAGCAGGAAGGATGCAAGTGAAGGAAGTACAATCTTTTTATGTTATGGTTTTTGTCTTTGCCAATAGAACATGAAGTTGATGAAAGAGTTGCAAAACAGAAAGCCGAAAATTTGACAGAATAAATCCTCTATCTGGGTTCATGTTCTCAGCAGATCATGTACAAATGGGACCTACAGTATAGTCAGTGGGCTATACATGCATCTGGCAATGAAAATTACTTGGATGTATGCTGCTGTAATATTTAAATGTAGTTATGAACCAGAATCACTTGTCAGACGTTACAATGCCACAGAACATGGAGAAGGCCCTGTGCAACTCTTCTCCTCACCCCAACCACCTAATAAATCTTGTAACTTAAGAACAGGTGAGAGACAACAGATAAATGTAGATACGTGGAAAGAAAACAGTTTCCAATTTCTCTCGTAATAGATGAATAGATCTTTCCACAGATATTTGGAGGAAGGATTTGAAAGAAGAAAACAGTGAGTTTTCAGATGTTTCCAGAAGAATTTTATTCAAAGAAGATCATAACATGGTAAAGTCTAAAAACCTTTAAACTTTCAAATCTACATTACAAGATAATCATCATGGCTCCATTAGGATTTATGTCACACAAACAGACACTTTCCTTTGTACTGAACAGATTACATAGAATGAGAGCTCTAAACCTAGAATGTTTTTAGGTACAGATATAAAAATACTTTTTACTAAGGTATGTATAAGCCACTAAGGCCCTCTAACTGTGCCTAATTTAACTGGTAATGGGAGAAGGAAGTTAGAGTACAGTATCAGAGAGGAAGAGACTGCAAACTGATGACCCAGGAATCTTTTAGTGGTGAACTCTAAATGGATCTAAATAGGCAAGAAAATGTAACTACAAGGACTGTGATGGAAATACAAAATAAGAAATACTTTAATTAAAATGTGTGAACAAATCAAAGGAAACAATCTAGCAGAAGGAAAATAAACTGATGGAATACCAAAAATTTAAAAGGTTGAGAAGAATGTAGACAATTATTATTTTGGTGACCAAAGGTAAAGATTCAGTAGGGATGAGCAGGAGTCAGAAATACTATCAGGTCAGCATAGTGATATGCATGAGAGTAACTGAATGAAGCTAAACAAATAAGGCTGAGAACCACATCTCTCTCAGCATTCAGTGTGGCAATGTCACAATAAAAAAGGTTACTTAAAAAAAATTGCTTTCGCTTTTCCTTTACTGTATGATTAGAGCAATGAAATAAAGTCATAATGCCACATGAAACATTTTTCTAAGCCTTAGTAATTCTATTCCTTAGTATCTAAAGAACAAAGTTAACAGTATTTAGGAATTATTTCTTTGGTCTTATGAAAAGTTACTGCTGTTCCTTCTCAGATTATATTTTGTGGCATTTTCTCCTCCAGAACTATGTTCTGTTCTTATGTTTACGTCTGCTGCTTTAAGCTATTAATTAACAATCAAATAACACTGAAATGAATGAGCTGTGAGACTGATTTTATATCTTGGGATAGCATGAGCTTGAAGATGCACAACAACCATCAAGTATGACAAAACGGTGGTCAAAGCATACAGACATTGAAGGATACTGCAAACAGAAAGCTGTATGTAAATGCAAGAGAATGACTGTGTTGTACACAATTCGCATACCTCTGATGTATCACATTGTAATCAAGGTTTGCATACATGCCTGCTTTTAAAAAAAAAAAACAAGAATGTTTTTATATAGCACTTAGCATGAGATATTTAAGCACGGTAAAGGCTTGACTCACTATGTGTCACTGCTATTCTAGGCATGAAAGACAAGAAATCCAACTGCAGCAGCTAGCTACTCTAGGCAAAAATAATTAGGAGTGGGTTTCATTATGCTGTACATAGACATGGTTTTGCAGCACTGTGTGGGGATCCCTTAGGGCAACGATACAAAATTTGATACCAAGTCAATATTTAATTGAATGTACAAGTCCTAAGAACTAGGCTCAAAGCAACTATTTATGGGTACTCAACCTTTTTGTTACATTACACAGCTGAAATGAGAGTAGTGTTACAGACCAGTAGTGTGGTGAAACCTCCCAGGTACAAGGGTTCAGTAAGCTTTATGGATGTGTGAATGCTCAGAATTTCTCAACCTCTTAAACTTCTTTGCAGACATTTCTCTTGATGATGTTCTGAGCCTTACCACAATATAGCACAATAGGGATAAAACAATGACTCTGGTAAACCAATGATTTCAGTGCAGTTGGGATTTCACTTCTTTATCAGTATTTCCACATTCTCTCAGACAAGGCTATAATATTTTGAGCACGAGTGCCAAAGCTATGACTTAGTGCCACGCTCTATATTAAGACTCCAAATGCTCTCAAATGGATAAATATTGGAATGTCAGAAGTAGAATGACAGATTACCTGCATCATCTACACCTCCTACACAATTAATTCTTCAGTATTAGTTATTCTTGCTGTCCTGAGAAAAGTGTTTTAACTTAGAAAAATGAATTAAACACAGAGGCAGTCACTATTTGTTTATGTATCTAACAAAAAAGTTACTTCTAATTGAGAAACATCTACGCAGGTTGCTTGGAAAATAACGCCTCCTATTTATTTCCATGAAGACTACAACAGATATACAGAGAACAGTAATAGTATTTGATAGAGCAAGTTCTTGGCTACAAAATATTCTTTCAACATAGGCACCACCAGTAGCCAATTCACATGAATGAGCTGACTAGACACTCCTGCACAGCATGACAGTTGTGCATGGCTATCCTGAACATGGCTTGTCTTTCAAGTCACTGGCACCACTACTGAAATGCACCAGCCACAGCCTTACTAAGATCACATCCACTTTTGTTCTCCATAAATGTTCAGCAAGTGTTGATGAATGTCAATAGTAGCAGTTTTTTTTTTTTTTTCTGCAAGGAGAAATTCAATTCCACATATTTACTTCCTACAGACTTACATGTCAGATGCCATTTTTTTTTTTTTTTGTCAGACTGCTCTTCTGCTGTCATCTGTCACATGACAACAATACTAAAAGGAATATTGGTGGGAAGGTTCAGTCTCACCTGCTATACCACCACCATCTGCTTCTGATGTTGTGAGCTAATATAAGAAAATATGAGGCATTACTTTTGGAGCAGCTCATACGTTGAAGAGATTGTGTACAGAAGGGGAACAAGATCTGGCAAAACAATCTTCATTCTCATTATGTCTTATTTCTTTAAGACCCCTTTGCCCTGTGGTTTTGGATCAAAAGTTGTTTGAGGTTCCTTATAACACTATTTTGTTGCACTTTTCAAGTCTCCTTTTACACAGCATGCCATTTTGCTGTGTTTTCTAAAGGAAATATACAGTAAAAATAGTTGAGAACTGCTACATATTCATCTCTTTACACTGGATTTGAGATTATATAGTAGCACAAGTGATTTGCAGAGGACGAGTAATCTGTGGCAAGTTCAGTGAAGTATTTATTACCTACTTGTACTCTCCTATTTTTAGATAGATGTCATTCAAGAAACCCATAAAGTTTAACACATTTCTGATTTTTCTAACAGTTCTTCTCCACCTCCCCCCCCTTTTCTATTTTTTTCCTGTTTCTGTGCATCTGATCCCCAGTATTCTGCCTTGCTCTCAGTTGTCAAAACAACCATTCTGGTCATATTTGAATGCTTGACTAGCTGTCATGATAGTACATATTTCTATGCACAGACCAACAGGGAGTAATGGGCATCTGCCATAAGATTTATTTTTTTGCCCAAGATTCAGCAGGCAAGCCAAGGAAAAACTATATATCATTTCACATACAGTAATAACTCAACTCTTTGGCAGAGAAAACTGATATATCTGATGAAGTGACAGGATTCCTATCAGGAGAAAAGAACCTTATCTTGCACTGAAGGAACATGACATTTTCTTAAAGCCCCATTAACCTCATGCGAGTCCACTTACCTCATATCCCAAGACAATAAAAATAAAACCGGTGGTTGTTGCAGCAAGGATTTTAACACGATATCTACTGGGTTAGATATTCTAACATTTCTTTGTGATAAAGATGCAGCTACCAGAAGAGAGGCAGCAGAACAGTAGACAGCCTACATATTTTAAATAACTGTGAAGTCAAAAGCTTTCATAGATTAGTTATCACACAGTATTAGCCAACAATTTACCATGAAGTTTAAATGACACACTGAGGACTGTAGGATTTCAAGAATTACAGTGATACACATATACCCTTATCATTATGATCCAACAATTGCTGTCCATTCACTTACAGTGTATTTGGTACCTCAAAAGGAAGTATTGCTACAAATATTATGTCTTGTCAAAAACTTATTTTGCAGTCCAACAATATTAATCTGTTTTTCACTTTATAATAATTAAATTATAATCATATAGTAATGAGGGTTCCCTTCTTTAACTGTCTGCCCATTCCATTTTATTTATAAACAGTCAATTGAGAGAATTATTAAGAAAAATCTTGACTTATAACTTTTCATTACCCATTTTCTTTCAGGAAGAAGATAGACTATACTGATAAATTAATCTGAAACAGAAGGAACTATGAATAAAACAAATCTCCTTGAAGATAACTCTTAGGAGTCTCATATGTACTTAAATAATAAAAATGCAGAGATGTAACTTAAAGACTAGAATTTCACTTGTAGCATTTTAGTCTGGTGACAATTACAGCAGTGTGAAGTCTAAACTTTCATTGCAGGAGCTTGAACAAACACTAAACATTTTTACATTCTCCAACAGCAATTAAAATTATGTTCAGATTGAAACAAAATATGTCACTTGTATTACAATATTAGTTAATAACTATATTAATAAAATGTCAATATAAAGTAAAACCTTACACTTCCATTTGACATTCAAGAGTAAAAACATGTTTATATTTAAAATGGCAAGCCTGATTTTTCTCTGAAATGAAAATGGGGGAAAATTAGATCAGTTGGATAAGATGTGTACCTCCATACAGTTCTGTGTATTTTTGTGAAACAGATGCGAAGGATATTTTTGACCCGATCTAGTGACAAAATATGAAACTCTCAATTCTCCTGTCAGTGCAAGGCTTGACTTTCCAGAATGGACAGCTGTCCATTACAAGCCTCATGTAAACTGCTTGCATATATCAACTGTTGAACCATTAACAGACTGATTAAAAAGAATGATTTAAAAAAAAAAAATCACTATTGATTGGTGTAAAAAAGGTGAAAATTCCTTAATCTGTGCGTATATACTGCCCTGAGGTAAAACTCACTAAAGCTCATTTTTACGCATCAAGTCCTCCCAAGCTACCCAGAACTAAAAAGTTGCTGGCATAACCTTCACTAATGCACCTGATGGACTGAATTTAAACATATGGGAGTAAAACTCAGGTCAAATAGAACAGATCTTCCTTCATTTGCTTGCTTACTTACACGTACACCATAGACACAGGACACTCATCTCTAAATCAAAGTTGTAGTCTTTACAATTCTAGAGCATGAGAAAAGGATTGGAATTCACTCATTCACAAATACACACGAAAAAAATCCGCATTCTCCCTATGTCATTTTAATTTTAGGATAACACCTATATCCTTTGCAACAGACAACCCAACAGTTGGGCAGAACGGACAGCAGTAATGCTCATTTTGCAAAATCTGATAGTCTCACTAAGAAACATACAAATCACCTCTAATCTGTCCACAGATGTGATTTTTTTTTTCCTCAGTTAATGTAAATAGACTGACAAGCCTGCAGATTGACAACTTGTATTTTCTTATTGACAAGCAAAAAAAAATGGACCATAAATATGTTTCATCAAGACTTCCCCGTCAAGAAAAGCTACTAATTAGAGCAAATAGATATGTTGCTTCACACAATGTAAGTATGAACCTCAGTTAAATAAACACGCAAATAACATTTACTTCAAGTAGGTCAACCAGCTAAGTATTTATTTTTAGTCATTATTAACTTTTGACAAAAAAACCCTGCAAATCTTTGTTTCCCACTTAGACCGGACAATTTCTAGTGTTCACTATGAAAGTCCTGCTTCATCATCAGTATAGCTACCATCTTTCTATAAATAAGAAAGCCTGGTGATTATCACTTACTCTTCGCATGAGTCATATTTAAAGAGCGCCCTGAGGTGCTTCTCACGTAGACTCTTTGAATCATGAATCAGAAAGAAAGGAAGCAGTCTCTGAAATAGCACCATGCTGAAATTCTCCTTGCTTACAACATACCTATTTATAGCTTCAACCTGTAGGGCAGTTTGATAAAATGGAAGCTGATGGTCAATGTAGAAGTTTATCTTCTTCAGCTATTCTTGTTAAATTAAAATGAACTGATAATGGGAAAGGTCTGTCCATACCCCTACCACACACACAAATTCAGTAATTGCTACTTAACTTACTTAAACAAAACTTCACTACCATGCATGATATATTATAATGCATTATTATTTTCTGAAAGAAGTGATGGTACTAAGACTTTCTACTTTATTTTTTCCTTCGCTCTTTTTCTCCTGAAAGACACTGAAGTCACACTTCAGTCTCGCTCTATGCCTGCAAAGGCAATGGTGCTTTCCAAGATACTCATTACTACATTAACATGACTAGTCTTCTCCAGTCCTCTTAGCCCCACCTGGAATAGGCACTACAAGAGGTGCAGGACTTGCTGAAAAGCAGAAGCTAATTTTATGAAGAACCAAATCTGGAAATGGCTCAATGATGCTGCAACAGGCACAGTAATGAAACAACTCTATTCCTGCACAGGGCTCCATGAAGCCACCATGAACTTGACAATCCTTTTGCTACATCCAAGTAAAAAGCCATCTGACAACAATCTGTTTAAGTTTTCCTGCTCCAAATATTGTCTTTTTCCAAAAGGTTCATTGGCCACAGAACAACTTCACAGGAGAGATCAAATGTGCTTATTTAAAAATTATAAAATATCCAGCAACTGATTGCTAATTAGGGTATATAACCCAGCAGGCCCTCGATAGCAGCAGACCAGGTTTGGCAGAAACCAGATAACCTTGAGAAACCTGGATGGAGCTTGCACCATCAGATAAGCATTCCTGCACAGCTCATCCTCAGATCCTCACGTGCCATGAATTTTCACCTACTAGTTTATATCTCTTTAATGGAGATTTAACTTCCAGATCTGGCATGTTGATTTATTTTCCAGCCAGGGTTACTGCAAGGCTTTTACTCACCTCAACAGGACCACAGAAATTTCCTTCCTTATATACAGGGAAAACAAAATGCTTTCAGACCTTGTAGAGCTAGAGACAAGTAGCAATTATCTGACAAGAGGTTGGCATATTTTTTACCACTCTTACATAAAACATGGAGCAGTTCTTCTTGTAACCACCTCAGCTTTCTAAATTCATTTATTAACTTCCCTGCTAACTGCTTAGCAGTTTTGCACAACTCACTTAAAAGCAAGGCCAATTTTTTTTCAAGTTATAAAAGCATTCAGAAATAAGCAAAAGCCTAGAAGATTCTTTACTTTTTTGATTGTATGTACAATTAACAAAAGTACAGTTAGAAGAGTGATGTGGCTAGGATGGTATTTTACAGATTTATAGTTAGAAGGATTATCACAATGGACGACAATCAAAAACAAAATTCTCACCCATATCCTAGGCTTGCAGTAGAAAACATGAGGGATCTCCAAAAAGAGATCCCTCGCCCGTGGCAGTCAGCCCTTAAATGAGGTCTAGGAGATGTGCAACCAGGCTCCACTCCTTCCAGTCACACAGGTGAATTGCCTTCACCTGTGCTCCCATGGCTGACTCAGTCCTTGCCTCAGGTGATCAATCAGTGGTTCAGGTCATGACTCAACAGTTCCCATACAATTATATACAAGATATTATATATCTTTCTTTCATTCACAAATCTTTCTCCCTTCACTGGAAAGGCTCAATGAGGCTCCACTTGGATCTAACTCCTATGACATTCCCCACAAAAGAAAAAAAATAAACAAAAAACAACAACACTATCCACATCCTTCATTCTAAGTAGAACAAGACTCCAGATTAACATAATTAATTTTGTTGGCACATCAATTCTCATTAGTCTCGAATAACTTTACCTGGCCTCTCTAGCCCCACACAATTTTTGTGGTTTGTTTTGTAATTTTTTTTGCACATCACTTTTAACATTTGTTTTTTTTTTCATTGCTTAACAGAGTTCATCTCTGCTCTTCCCTGGATTTCTTGTCTAGAGGTAATTATTCTGGATTTTTTTTTTTTTTTTTTTCCAGATTTGCAGCCATTTCCTTTAGTCTTCTTCAGGCAGGTGATGGACTTCGCTCCTTTAAAGTGGCTGCTTCCCAGGAGGGAACCTGCCTATGATCTTTGTCAAAGTTATAACTCCCACTAACAAACTGGGATTGAAATAATTTACAGAATACTGCTAGTTTCTCAAATCATGAATAGACAAGCTTATTGCAAATGTCTGAACATCCACTGTCTCAACAATAAAAGAAAAACAACAACTACAAAAAAAAAAGAACAAACAACAAACCAACAAAATAAAACCAACATAAGCGGCAAAATAAATCAACCACACTTAAAAAAAAGGATGTTTTTCTCGTAGTTTCTTATAATATCAAACCCAGATACTCTGACTGTAATTACTTCTTACACTGATATTTTCAAATATGATGAACTTGTTGACTTTATTTGCAATATATAATTTTGAATATTAGGTAATCATTGTTATGACTTACATGTAATAAAACAGAGTTGATAAGAATGAGACAATATTATAGGGCATCTATTTGTTTCAGAAACTAATATTAAATGTTTCTTAGATCATCGAAGTCCTAAGTGTATTAGCATGTTACCTGATCTACTGTACGCATACACACTCCGATAAGCACAAAACATGACATCTAACTCTCCAGCTTTAAATAATTGTGACGGTACACATACAAATACCTTGCAAGTATTGAAAGCAGTAACATTGTATTTGTCTCTGCACCAAATTCTGAGTTTAATAGGAACTGAATTGAAAGTGATGCTTTCCTCAGCATATTGGCCACCTGCAACATCCTACTAGGGAGATGAAAAAATTGCCAATTCAGTGCTAGACATAATTTCTACATTGTTATAATTTCCATTCATGTTGTAAATGCCATTAATGAGACCTTAAAGAATACCTTACTGTAAACTGTGGAAGGTTTACAGATACTACTCTTAATATCCAGTCAATATAAGAACAGTTCATCTATACATACATATATTCATAGCTTCACTACATATACAAAAATGTAACAATGCTAGTTCTGCACACATTGAAGTGGAAGAAAAGGGGGAGAAAAAAAAAAAAAAAAAAAGAGAAATTCCCTTTCATTACACCAAGCATTTCCTGTCATAGTATGTTTTATGTTCTAAGCTTTTCATCAACATATTCAACTTGATCATGGTTTTATATTATTAGACACCACTGTAAACAAATAAACAATTTACAGACAGACAGGATGTCACTAATATTGTGTGTCAATATGTAGTATAATAGCTGCTCCATTATATTTTGCTACCATAAGAATTTGATACAAACTGACAAACACATCTAGATTTACTTTTTATACAACTAGTCAGAACTGTATGTAATTGTAATTACAATATTACCCATCTCTTCCCCTTTATATGAAAAAGCATGTTGTGAACAATTTGCTATTCAGACTGGCACTTTTAAAATTGCATACATTATTAAAGAATAGCTTATGTATCTTTTTATTTGTTTTCAGAATTACAATGTTCATGAGATAATCACAGAGAACACATTATATATTATCATTAAACACATCTTTGCCACAAAAAGTTAAGAGCATTGGTAGAAAATCCTATGTCAAGTTATCTGAAAATATAACCTATAACCATAATTTCATAAAACCAATGTGCACTTAATGTAATATTATGTCAGCAAGTTCCTTCTTTTTGCCGTTACCTCTATAATCATATATATTTGCAGTCAAGTGCATCAAATACTTTTGTGTTTGTACGCTTGCAATGCACTGGAAAAAAAGGAGTTTGCTAGTATGGTAACTAATTGGACCCATCACTGGACCCAAGAATGGGGAACTAGAAGATCTTAATTTCAGTAAATAATTGACCCCCTATTTCTACCTACTGCTGAACATAACATTAATCAGTATTTACCTCCTAATGTTTACAGAACACTGATCGTATATTTCAAAATCATAATTCTTACCAACTATATATTGACTTTTATTTTGGCATCTACTATATAAATCAGGATTCTGTTGAACTCTTAAACTGAAGAAGAAATTATATCAACTTTAAGTACATGCACAGTATCGTGCACTACAGAATGATCAAATACTATTTTTTGATGGATGAATGAATCAATAGAAAAATAGATTTAATAAATCATTAACATTTAAAAATCTAGATAAAAATGGGAAATCATGCACTTCACGCAAAGTTTTTCTTTTTTTGTTATTTTTTGATGAAATTTCCGAGAACTTAAGACATGCAGAGATGAGAAGCAACTCACTCTGAGCAAAGAACAATGTTAAGACTGAACAGAAGTTTTCATTGAGCCTGTTGATATGCAAGACTAAAAAAAATTGCCATTCTTGGACTTCCCTTCAACATTAGACAGCGTTGTGCAAACCTCAGACAAATCCCTGTATTATGATTTCTAAGCTGTTAGGAAGTCTCTCAGAGGGCTAAATAAAAATCTGAAAAATTGTTTCCCCAAATTTATTACAAGAGATGTTTTTATTCCAGGCAATAGACTATGAAAGGGAAATGAATACCAGTTTATCCTTTCCTTAATATATTAATTCAGAGGACAAGTAAACTATGGATAGCATAGATATATAAATAATAATTAAAATAAAATTAGACATATATTTAATTTTCCAATGTTTAAACTATGTATGTTTCAATATTTAGAATGTGTTTATCAGCTTATGAAATAAATGAAAATTGAGTATTTATTTGCAATTTAATGTGTTTTTTTTTTTTTCCCCATCCCAACATTTGTTAGAACATTGCCGACATAATCAAAAGAACTCTAATTTTTCAGACCTGAGTCTATTCCAGTGATCTTGATTAATTATGAATTAACCCATTTCTTTGAAGTATCCTTCATTAAATCTTTGGTGGGAAACACACTTTATTAAGCATGAGCTTTGGTTATTTGTGTGCATACACACTATACTATTGGTCAATAATGCAGAATGATTTAAAGTTTGCCATGCTCCAGAGATGTATTGCTCATTAAAATGATTCTAGTGTTTCAACAAATAACACTGATAGCTACTTTTGCAAATACTATTATCTTCAATCTTCAAATGATCTCTTTAACCAGATAATTTTTGCTCAGACTTCAAGTCTTGCAAAAACCTACACAAGAATGATCATAATCATTTGAATATTGCATACATTGAATTTTAAGTTATCAGCAAGTACAATTACATACATAGGAGTTATCAGAATAAGATTTAAGATTTGAATACTTAGCTGAATAAAAATATTCTCAGGGTAGAAACAAATGACAAAATATAAGTAAAAGTTAATGAGACCAGTAATAAACTTTACTGTGAAGCAGGTCTCATTGGTTACTGATGATTTTTGATTCAAGTGTCACTACTGAACTTACTGCAAATGATCATTATAATAGAAAAAAGCACACACACAAAAAAATAGAAATGCAATGGAGAGAAAATCAAATTACCCATGGCATTCTCTTCCTATATTCCATGGCAGAATTATCCCATAGATTAATAAATGGTACTTCATGCAACAACAACAACAAAAAAATGCTGTATCATTTTATGTAAACATCTTTCTTCATGCAAAATGCCTACAAATCTGTGACGATAACTTTTTTTCTAATAGCATAGTTTTACATTAGCTCAGTTACAGAAACTATTAAATGAAAATCCATGAATTTGCAAGGAGAAGATATTCTAAAATTTTTGAAAGATTTCCAGCATAAATATTCCAAAGCCCAACAAAGCTAATTGATTTTCTAAAAACTAAACTACACAGACTTATTCCTTGCTGTGGTGCCTTGTTCTTTTGATGATAGAAGAGAAAAGACCAGTTTTTGGAGGAGGACCCATCAACATAGGGGCTTGGTTCTTGTGGGTAATTTTTATCTGAGGGAAGAAAGAAGAAAATCATAGTTATCCCTTGAGCTAGTTAAATGCCTATGTACAAATATCTGAAATGCTTGAATCATCTTTACATACAATTTCCAAACCTTCATTTAATCAAGGAAAGAAAAATACCTCTGTTTTTTTGAATGATGCTACATATTCAGTAAGCCAATGTATGTATAATCATTGTTACCACAAATACTTTCAATTATACATGCAATCAATGTTACAAATAGTATACAAAAAAAATGCAGGCTGATATCTGATCTTACTTGTTGACTGTGGGACTTACTGCATGCTGCTGAATATTTTACATGTAAAGAAGATGAATGAGAATTTAGAAGTTGGAAAGGACACACATGCTGAAAGATCAAACTGTTGCCTATCACTAAGATAGAGGCTGTATCATTGTATGCTTTGTTTACATTTCTAATCAAGCCGTATCTGTTTTCTAACACAGGACACTATTTAATTTCAAAATAAGCATTATGAATGAAGGTAAAAAATTAGCACACAAAAAGGGTAAAAAAGGATGAACTAGGATTCTAATTTGTTCATTAATTATTAGTAGAATAGACTCAAATATTGAAAAGCCTATTTAAAACACTTCGCAAGACTGCTCTAAAGTCACCCATTTTTGATTTTTTTGATATAAAACTACGAATCACCTTATATGAGACAACCTTAAAGTAGATTATGTCTGCAATTTTCTCTAATTCAAGTCTAAATTAGAGAAGACATTTTATGAATGTATGCTATGCTCAAAGCTAATTGAAAGCAATTATCAAAGTGGCATTTTGTCTGTGACTTTAAGATACATTGTAAGATAATAAATGATTCTCATTATGTAATAAAAAGGTCACATCTTGCCTTTGGGCTAGTGATGCTAAGAGTTTTTCAAAAGCAATCCGAGACATTTTCTTTAGTGAACTACGACTAATACAAGAACCATCACTTATTAAATATCAGTTGTCATCTGCATAGTACCTACATCAGAGATGGGTATTTCTTTCAAAAAGAAACACCACCTCATTAAAAACTGGAAAAATATATCTCTTAAAGTGCGTACCTGACATTTTCAAGTTAAAATGAATATCCTTCACTTGTCATTCACTAATAGTAATGAAACAAAAAATGTATGTCACGTGGACAGGCTCATTAAAGTATAGATCAGGACATTTCTTGGGGTGGAAATTTACTTTACGATATAAAGAAACCGAAAAATCCCAACAGCATAAGAGAGTTTATTTAACTCAGAGACTTTAGGTTATTCTCCAAATGTTCATTTTCATGCTACCTTTGTACACTAGTCTTGAACCTCATATGTGACCTCTTCTTGTCAAGATTCTTCATTAGTATCAAATTTAGTATACATTTTTTTTTTTTTTTTTCCAACCTACATTAATTTCACACAGAAAATAACTCCAGCTTTCAAAGACTGGCATCAACATATTTTCTCACATAAAATTCTTCAGGCACCAATTTGGAAGCCAAATCTCGGGGTAAGTTGACATTTTTCCATGGATGTCACGTTAAACCAGCTGATGATCCGGTCCTGAAAAATTGCCTCAAGTATTTCTGTAACTTTCATATGCTTCCATAAGACATATTTTGTGTTTCAGGAATAATGGTGACATCTGATCCTGAGGACCAACATCTGAAATAATCTGCAGATGCGGTGAGTGAATTCTTTGAGAATCACGAGGGTTCAAGCACATTACAGGATTTGGACATGATGAGGCAACAGAAATGTCTTCAGAATTTCGTTCAGAAGTAAATCATAGTAATTCCATCTTAAAATAAATAAAAGAGCAGAGCGCAAAAGAAGGCTTCAGTATGAAGAGGTGAGGTAATCCTGAGACCTCATACAGATTGCATGTTGGATTGGGGCTGTTCAATGCTGCTGAGAGTGAATGCAATTACATATTGAGAAAATATTTATCATTTATAATGCTCTTTTTTGGCTTGAGCCATCTGTTTCAGAGAACATGACCTCTTCAGTATGTTGTATCCTATCAGCTGAGATCAGCCAAGTTGCATGAACAAGATTAACCACTCATGCATATGAGGATGGAGTCCTATATACATTTTTCTAAGATGTATTTTCAACTCTTGTAAATTGGCCACAATCCAATGACATAATATACTCTACATTCTGAAAATAATAATGACAAAAAAAATGTTAACAAAGTATATTTTTTACTTATGCACAGTAGTGTAATTAACAATGCATTGGTTAACAATGATAACCATTGATAACTTATATCCTGAAAAAAAAAAAAGAAAAAAATATATATATATATTTACATATATACTTTACCTTTGGGTCACAAAATATCAGTCTTTTTGTAATAGACACTGTAAAACTGCACAACATTGCCCAAAAGATACTTTGTCTTTCTCAAGACTTTCAGGAAATGTGTTTCTGTCCCAGACTCTTGTTGCTGCTTCTATTTGCATACTGGCAACAGTAGCAGAGGGTGTTGTGAGTGTGGGTGACAAGTGAATGTCAAGATGGGTCTCAGAAAACGAAATAGCTTAGCAGGTAAAGTGGGGCTGAACACAGAGAGTGCTCTAAGCAAAACTGAAATGGAGACAAAAGCAACCACACAAAACCCCTTAACATTAAAAAAAAAAAAAAAAAAAAAAAAAAGGAAAAAAAACTTAAATTAAAAGCAACCAAGATTTGATTTACTTAATATTCAACAAACTCACTACTTATAACTGCATATAAATTCTGTGTTCATCTAATGTCTAGAGACTAACTTTCATCATATGGATTTTTTCTCTCCTGCAAGTAACATTATGTCTTTCGTATGAGAACCACAATTTTTAAAGCTTTAAAATGCTTTGAATAAGATGCAATAGTTTACTGTTTTTCATTCTTCTATGATGAATCTGTGATTTCCTTGCACAACGTACACACAAAAATAGAGAAAAAGAGAGTGATCAGAAATAAACACACAAAAAGTTCAAACCATAACCTAACATTTTTAGCAGCTGATGATATTCAGATAAACATACTCATGCCAAATAGTCAGGAATACTTGAAAATCATTTTAGAGATTGTTTATGCAAGTTCACTGAAAGCATGGAGGGTATTTAAACATAAATAGAGAAGTGAGTGAAGTGCTATTGGAGGAAAAATGCAATAGAATACTTCCCTTTGTCAAATTTGGAAGAAATTTAAAAGTACAAAAAAATAGTAAATAACACAATTTCATTTAGGAAGAAATTAAATAGATACATGAATTGCTAATATATCTTGATCTCTCTTTTTTTTTTTTTTTTAATTGAAATCCTCATATACAATATTATAGACATACATACAACATATATTTACAACTCAGTCTGTTGAAATCACTGGCAAAAGTCTCATTCACTAACCAAAGCCAAGATTATAGCCTTTGAATTCATGATCAAAGAAACTTAAAGAACTGCTCTACCTAGTAAATATGCTTAGCATAAAAATATTGCTCTTGTAATTTTGAAGTCACCTTTCTACCACTAGAAAGTGTGTCTAACAATGTATTCGTGGGAAGGGACAAAAGATTTATTAAAAAGTAAAATTCTTGAGAAAGAATTAGGTATTGCACTCGACTTGTAGTTTTTTGGTAAAGGAGCAGGAAGAATGTTTATAAATGCATAATTATATTTATAAAAGCATAAAACAGAAATTTGTTTTGGGACAGATCAGAGTTCCAAAATATGCCTCGAAGCCACATTAACACAACATATCCACTCAATAAAAAGCTGCAAACATCAATATTTTTAGTGTAAAAGCTATCTCTTTAAGGTCAATCAGTTTTGCATATATGCATATATTTTGACAGTATGTGCTAGCTCTCTCTATGTTTCTGACTTCACAGAATGCCTAAATACTTACTATTAGCACAGAAATACAATTACAAGCTGCAATGCTAATTAAAAATATAAAACTGAGAATGGAGACAATCAGCTGTGCTTTTAATAGTTCAATTAATAGTGAAAAATTAACTCTGTATTTTAGGATAAAGAGATGGTAAAAACCCTAAAAATATCTTAAAACAAATAAGTAAACAAAAACCTTAGGAAATTCTTCAAGAAAAACACAAAAGCCTGGGCTTGGGAGAAGAAAAAAAGATTGGATTTGCTAGTTTACAGTCATTTTTTTTCCATGTTATGAGCAAGATTTTTGCTGTTGGCAGGTTTGAATGTATAAAGGATTTTCCAGTTTGGATGCCCCTTTGCTGTCCCCTTTACAGGAAATAGATGGACGCAACACTTCTGTATCACAGGAGTGGCAAACACTTTTATCTTCTTGTAGATGATCAAGAGCTGTACTGGGTGACTGAATGTTGGCAATGGTATAAAAATTAACCTCAGACTTGCATTATGTGACATTTTGGTCAAATCTCTCAGGTCTAGATCAGTTGTTTTAAATATAGCATTATGCAACATATCTTTTAAATAAATTTCTTAACAATATTATTGTGCAGAGTGCAATCAAATCTAATCAGTTTGGCATTAATTAAGCTCTAATAATATACTCTAGTCTCTCTCCTAAGTAGTATGATCCGTTTCCCCTTCACACAGGTAGATTGGAAAACATTACGGTGTCATCATAATTTTTAAACATACTGAGAAAATGACAGAGCTGCAAAATTAAAATAAATGATTAATGGCATTTTTTTTCATGTTTTGTATTAATAGGTATCACTGAGGTTTTAAATTAATAGAGCTGTCAAGCTTCGGGTTGTTACAGATCCAGTGCAGAACGAAAATGGAAATTATGTATTCCACAGACACCTAAAGATGACACTTCAGAATATTTCAAATTTTAATTAGTAGGTGCAATTGTTTTTTTCTCCCTCCTCCCTAAAACCACTGCAAATTAATTGGTAATTAGTCACAACTAATTCTTTTCTTAACAATCTGAGCTGGAAAGAAAGGTGCATTACATGTAGAGTATTTGTCTGGGGTGCAGAAAGCACACATGCAGCAAATTGCTTTGTCAATTACAAAAACTACTGTTGTGAAATTAAGAAAAAAATGCATAGGTAAACAAAGCTAATTAATGTGCAGTGTACCTGTGAACACAAAAAATAATGCCCAGATGCATGGTAAAGTGTTAGAGGCACTCTGGTCTTGAAACACAAACTTACACACATTGTTGCTGGGGGAAAGTGCAGCATTTCAGTATAAGACCTAGCCCTTTTTTTCTAGCTTTCACTCTAGAATTTCATTTGGGGGTTAACTGTGTTGGAACTGTCTATCACTGTATTAACACAAGCCACCACACCTATAACTCAGTTTATCTTTGCTCAAAAGAAACAGATAAAATTTTTATTTCCCACTATATATATATATATATAAATATTATTGCATTCAATGATGTGGGTAGAGGTTACTGTGAAAACAGCTGCAACTTCTTTATCGCATCAGTGAATGACCTGGGTCAGAATGGACCTCAACAGATCTACACAAAAAGAAATCTCAGTTTTTCTTTCAACTAGCTCTAGGATATCAGAAATATGATTAAAAGTACTTTTATTCTTGTTTCTGTCTGGACTTAAGTACAAAGGTGGACACTCCACATCTTTACGAACTAAATGCAAGGCTAAAGAAACCATACATTCATTAATTTATTCAAACTTATTTTAAGGTGCATACAAATCCTAATATAATGAAATATCATTTCTGAGTTCCATTATTAAATGGCTTCTTACAAGTTTTTCTACCAGTAAATAATTCTAAAAAATATTATTAGATATAAATATTTCAGACGATTTTATTTCTGCCAGCCCATACTCAGATAGGCTCTGAGTATGGATTACCATTTTCATTCCTTCATCAAGGCAATATTCTTTCACATTTTGTACACATTTCTCTCTTCATTTTAATCTAATGATACTAGTAGCTAGACATTCTAACAGATGCGATGCCAATCAAGTCAGGAATAGATGAAAGAATTGAAATCACAGTTATTAAGATGGAATATTCCTATAGATTTTTCAAAACAATACTAATATTTTATGTAGCTAAATTGAAAGATTACTTTTCTTTAAAAAGTCCTGATGGCTAAAGCTACCGGTTTATTGAATTAACTTGAGAGTCTTTGAAGTTTCATTACTATTAATGACCTGTTTGGAGATCAGGTGAAACCATAGATATCTTTCATGTTGCTATATTTGTCTGGGAGAGCTCTGATAGAATTTCCTCCTCAGCTAATCAGACAAGATGTTTAACATAACATTAACATTATCATCTTTCCTTGTCCCAAAGACTTTTCTATTAAAAAAAAACAAAAAACAAAAAAAACAGTGAAAACAATACAATTTGATGCTCAGATTCTGCATCTTATTATACTGGAACAAAGTGATTTTGTCAGACTGTAGTCTGCATGTGTTCAACATATTCAGTAATTCTGGATGTTTATTAGATTTTTAGACTGAGGCAACTCACAGAGCCTATAGGAATACACTCATGCTCTCTTTTAGGGATGCTAGCTGATTGAGCAGTATGAGAGCATAAGAGATAACAAAAGAACAACACAGCAACTTCTTTAGTACTAAAACTGACCACAGGAATAAAAAATCACAGATCGTAGCTTCTGGGGAATCAATGCATTTTTATATTTCACATCTTTCTTATTTCCTTTCTTTCTTTCTTCCTTTCTTCCTTTCTCTCTTTCTTTCTCTCTTTCTCTTTCTTTCTTTCTTTCTTTCTTTTTCTTTCTCTCTCTCTTTCTCTCTTTCTTTCTTTCTTTCTTTCTTTCTCTCTTTCTTTTTCTCTCTTTCTCTCTTTCTTTCTTTTTCTTTCTCTCTTTCTCTCTCTCTCTCTTTTTCTCTTTCTCTCTTTCTTTCTTCTCTCTTTCTCTCTTTCTTTCTTTCTCTCTTTCTTTCTTTCTCTCTCTCTTTCTCTCTCTCTTCCTTTCTTTCTTTCTTTCTTTCTTTCTTTCTTTCTTTCTTTCTTTCTTTCTTTCTTTCTTTCTTTTTTCTTTCTCTCTCTCTCTCTCTCTTTCTTTCTTTCTCTCTTTCTTTCTTTCCCTCTCTCTCTCTCTCTCTCTCTTTCTCTTTATTTATTTATTTATTGAGTCCATACTGTCATTTTAGGGAGACACAGTCTCTGTGTGTGAGAAGGGAAAGGAGAAGTAGGAAAGATAAACTTGTTGATTTCTTTGGTGGGGAATAGACTTCCAAGCCTGTTTGAGGAGCCTGCAACCCATACGTAACAGGGATTTAATATAGCCTTAGTCTGTATAATGGAACATAGAAGGAGATTTTTGATTAGGTTGAACCTGATTTCTTGAGAAACCATTTGCAAAATGCTGTCATTTGTACTGAAACATGAAGAAGAAACAGAAAAGGATTTCTGAGCTCAGCTACTTGCAATCCTTATGTGAAACATGGGAATGTCCCCCACATGTTGCAGTGCATGGTGTATGAATGCCAGCACCTTCTTATAATGGCCTCAGTTCCTTGTAGGATTTAAGGAAATATATTTACTAAGAGTGGAAATAAAAGGAAAAGCAAACTCATACATCATCTAAGAAAAAAAAACTCCTGGATTTCTTCATCTGAGCAAGTTGCTTTCTGTTTAATTGGTCATTTGCTTGAAGGTAATTCTGGGAGAAAACTGCAATTTTGTTTCCAGAGAAGACAAAAATTCACGATTCTTATGTTGGTCTCATCATATTTTTTCTGAAATTTGAGCTCTTTCTAGTTCAAATAACAGGCTACCTAGCTGGCTACACATAATAATTAATTATGATTTTATATTTTTTTAGACTAGTTCTGGATACACATTACAGAGATCATTCCTATATTTATGTGACCAAATATAGGAATGACTTCCAAGGACACTTCTGAAACACAGAAAAAAATCTAACATCAATCTTTGGCATTGTCACAGGAGCAAATTCTAGTACTTTGCAAAGAAGAAAAAATTTTAGCGTACTGATGGAGAGGGGAGAAGTTGCACTATATCCTTTTTTTGTGTGTGAAATTTAGAGGGACAATAATGTGAGGAGCAATTCCATAAATACACTAAGATCCTCAGAAAAGACATAACAAACAAACAAAATATTTCCTGAAAAATGAATAATATAATATAAAATACTCATTCTGGACCTAATTCATAGTGGTACAGTAGCACAGAAAAGAAGTAGCTCTTCTCATATGAAAGAAATACAGCCTACAGTGGGTTTTTTTTACATAACACAAAGTAGTTTCTCTTAACAGTGTTATATCACAAGGGATAGTTTCCACAGGAAAGTATATGCCACTTCTATCCCATGTAAAAAGTTTATTTTAATTGGACAGGAGTAATTATCAGTAATAATAATTTACTGTTTCCTTAAGGCAGTAATTGAAATGTAAAAACTTCTTTTTCCAGATTTGTCATAAGTTGTGCAGGCAGCTTCTGCTAGCATTATCAATCAGATAGCAGGGATTTTGCAGAGAGCAAGATATCAAGGCAAAAAAAAAGCATGCCGTATTGCCAACATCCTTCCAGAAGTTTTCTTCTGTAATCTGTAACTGAAAAACTATGTCTTTTTCTTGAACAAGTAAATTCTGGGTGCAGCACTGTTCTGCAATGAAAAAATTGGCGTAGAAAAAGTAAAGATAATGATATCTAACTCCAAAAGGTTTATTGGATTACATCAGAAAATCTCCACTGTTCTGCCTTCACACAGTGTGTGTTTACACGGTTCCCTTCTCACTGCAGTACCTTAGTACTTACCATAGAGAATTAGATTTCAGGCACTTTCCCGCCGTTCAGCTGTACACTACAGAATATCCAGCAAACCTGGACTATCACAACTCTTTTCTTTCCTCTTAGCCCATACGTTACCAGCTTCCAGGCTTGTTAGCACATTACTGAAGGTGCTGCCTTTAATTTCTCTGTGTTGCCTTTAACTTTACTAGAGACAATGATAATGAAAGTGATCTAGAACCTGAATTTGGAGAATGACTCTTTCCTGTGCTGGAATACCTTCTTCCTTGGCACATTACTGTCATTTACAAACTGTAAGGTGACAGAGATTCAGCTACTTAACAGTACAGATTTTCCTTAGTAAAAGTCAGTAAAATTGCATACTAAGGCACATTACTATGACTATATACAACGACGAAAAGCTTAAAACTCTTCAACATCTTAATCTGCTTTGTTACTCTCTATAATTTTATCAAAGACAGATGACAATGGAGAGCTCTTAGTGCTCTACCTTTATTGTGCACAGCATCAGAAATAAATGATCACATTGGGTAAAGCTATGCACCCTCTGAGTATTTTCCAAACTTTTGAAATAACTGACCTTTTATTCTACCCTAGCCTGCAGGAAAAGCATCATGATAAATTGAAAAGGAGGTAGGTGTTGAGCTATACAATAACAGCATACGAACATGTTAGTTAAGTAACTGAATTAATGATGATAAGGGTTGTCTCTACTGAAAGATCTTGTTTCTTTCATTTCAAGGACTGAAATTAAATAAATCAATAAATATAAGTGACTATGGTAATTTTTGTAATTAAAGAAAAAGCTTATATACTTTTTGTTTAGTCCTCCTCCCATTGATAACTGTATCCTTACCGTGCAGGGGGTTTGCATCCAAGGTTCCCCATCTATCTGCATCGGCAGAGACTTGCTGGTCCTAAAGTGATATATTTCATAAAATAAGAAAATGCAGCTGGACAAAATTGATAAATGTACTTTTAAGGAGACATATGTGATGGCACACATGTATACACCAGATTTACCCAAGCTTCTATGTAATCTCCAACACGTTCACACAATCAAACCAGTTGCTTAGTAGGCAGACACCTTGCACACATCTTGCTAAACTCTACTGTCTCATGAGAGAATAGTCTTCAATTTGTGATATAAAGAGATAATTATGCAACAACTTCAAGAAAAAACTATTAAGAGGAAAAGAAAAAACAAGGAAATCTGTTGCTATTTTTTAAAAATTTAGACTGAATACTATAAAGAAAAGGAGAAATAAATCTTAGCTCTAATATTGCTTTACTAAAATCACAGAAGATATTTTTATGCTTGTGTCTAACACCAGGTAAGACAGATCAGTAGCGACAGTTTATAGTGTTCAGTACATTTAATTTACCATGTTATAAATTGTTAGTAAAGAGTCACTGATTTTAATATTAATGTTCAGATAGTATTCTATGCCTACTTTTGGGTACCATATTTAGAAAACCATGGATAAATGATAAAAAGAAAATAAAATTTAAAAATGATGATCTTTTAAATGACCTTTTCCACCTCTATATTTATGTGTTATAGTCAGACTGTGTTATAGTCTGGACAACTCAATATAACATGGAACAGTCAATTCTAACAGTGGAAAAATGAGTCAGTTGATCACTCATGATGATCAGTGGAAATTCTAGGTTGGACATTACTTAAAAAACTAGCAGGTTGTAGTGTTAACCACAGTCATCAACAGCCAGAAGAAAAAGAAGGAAAGAATATTCAATGAAGTCTCATATAAGTTTGAAATAATTCTAGTTCTTTTGCAGTTCTTGTTGATTTGGAATTATAAATATTGTATCTTGGTATCCAGGGAAGATTGGAATGAGTGACTTTGCATTCTCATTTCTCTTCCTCACCCTCATGAGAGAGCAATTTGAAGCCAGCATCACCTGGTTCTTGAGAATAGTCTCAAAAATATGCCACAAGCTTCAGGAATTCTTACTTACTATCTTTAAGTTTTGACTTCTACTCTTCTGTTAATTATCCTACTTTATATCTAATTTCAGTCTTGGTCTTTTCATTCTATAACTTTTGACTTAAATTAAAATTTTGCAAAATTCTTCCTGAAAAATTCTGTGCTGATGAAGTTGAATGCCTTTCTCTTTTCCAGCCCTTATTTAATCCAAAAGTTAGAATAATTATTTTTTCCTTAAGGTTGAATCCAAACTTCCTCTATTGTAAAGATACTGGTCACTGTTAGCATCGTAAGTGATAAAACACAACTAAGTTAATCTGCTCCACTGCTCAGAGCTTACACATATCAATGTATTTATTAATAGTAACCTGCCAGCATTCAGTAAATAACAAATTAATTTAAAAGAGAGCACTTTGACTTTCATGGATCAAACAAGTGCTTTACAAATACTAATTGCATGCTACTATTCTCTGGTGAGAAATGCTTTATAAATGGGTTAAAATGTGTCAAAGTAACGTTAAATGCCTTTTTGCTCTAATCTGCAGAGTGTATGTCAATAAAATAAACCAGGATGTTCATACATTACTCCTCCTCCTCCAATTGCTTAACAATATTTCTTCATAGCTTGAAATTACAGTTAAATACAACATGTAAAAACTGAATGTAAACACCTTCCTCCCTTCCTTTTCCTCTTTCTCTCTTTCTCTCTTTCTTTCTTTCTTTCTCTTATACAGTTAAAGCAAAAAAGATGTATGGGCACAGAAAAACAAATAGAATACATTTGATATATAAATTGATACTCTCACAAGCATTAAGTTCAGTAATTATGACTTAAATTAAACTGTTAAATAGAGTGTAGTGGTGAAATATAAATATCAATTGATAATATATAAAACTTTACTGTTCAATACAACAGCACAGGAGAAATTAGATCTGTCAATACCTGATGACAACGGATGAGCACTGGGCAAGCCTTCTTCCAGCACTTTTCAGACCTGTATATATCTGACCCATCTCCATGGCTCCTTCCAGACCAACCACTTCCATAAGCTGGTCACTAAGATCTGAAAAAGTTGAAAAAAATGCATTTGGTCTAAATGTGATTTTGACAGTTTTCATCCTAACTAGCAAGCTGGTCAGAAGACCAGCTATATATGATAATAGATAAAAAATGATGTGAACTTCCTTTTCTAATCACTAAGAAGTGATTTCAGTTTTAAGTTTTGGAGCATCTGGGTCTATTGGCACACTATTCTAGAATACTTTGACCAGAATGATTCTAAAATACGATAATAAACTCCATGGCTTGTTTAAATTCATACACAGAAAGGAAAAGTCTCTCAGCAAATAAGAAAACAGGAAATGCTCCTTTTCATAGAACTAAATGTTCGCAGCTTAGAATTTTTTATGCTTATATTTACAGATTTATTGTTTCAATAGATATTTAAAATTTGACACAGGAAAAATCAGTGCTCCATACAGTGTTAGTATCTCTTTCCAGACAATGCATACAACTCTAATTCAGACCTTGTGTGCATGCACTATTATTGTTTTTAATTATGAGACCATATATATATATATTTTTTTGTATCAGACTTTTGCCCAAATTAGTGCACAGATTCAATGCAAAAAGCAGAAAATACTCTTATCAGCAACTATTTTGATACCCATACTGCATTTTGATTACATAGCATTTTGACATTACATTTCCAATGACATGTAAATAATGTACCTGTCAAAATAAATTTTAGTTTGCTTGACTTCAAGGAGTGAGGACAAATTCTGTCTAGAATTTTGGATACTAACAGAAATACAATAAGTATCTTAAATAGTATTATAGCAGTCTGGTTTGAAAAGCAAACAAGTAAGGTAATGAAATATTATGCAGAAATAACTAAGGTGTTTTGTATGAAATACATAATATGCTCTGGTTTAAACACATGCTGCCAAGACCAGATGGACAAGCAAAAAAAAAAGTTTATAACTTTAAATCATGTATGTTTTATAGACTGGCTGTTTCCAAAAGATAGGCTATTTGGTGAAGCAGAGCCAAGCCATGAGCTATCATCACAGTGAAGAAAACAAAGATAGGAGAGCACATTACTCTTTGTATATTTTAAATACTTCACATTTTAATGAAGGTAGAATTTCATGCTAATTATCATATCTGTAATTCTAGTACAAAGTTTCAAACTGAGTCCTTTCTGTTCACTTCTTTGGGGTTTGAAAGAAAATAATTAACTAAAAAAATATTGTGATAGGGAAAAAAATATATATATTAAAATCAAATAGGATTTACGGTCTGGATTATTCTGCTTCCAATCAGGAAATGTGATGCTATCCAGTGCCTTCATTTTCTTAATATTCTTTGCCATTTTGATTTTCTCATCACAGTGAAATGTACCACATGATATTAATGGAGCAAAAATAAACTGTATAATTTGCTATTAAAGAACAAAACAAGATGGCAAAATATTTTAATATAATAGGATTAATTTTAACAATTAATTTTTAGAGTTAGTATCTCTGTAACACATGTAAATCCAATTTTGCATGTTGAGTTTTCTGTTGAATTGTTTAAACGATGGTATTCTCTTTAAATATTTTCCTTAAGTTACTCATATGCTTTTAACTCAGATTTAAACAAATTCTGCTTTTCTTGATAATCATAGATTTAAATGGGAAAGTCTCACTAATTTACAAAAGCACACAAAACTTTATAGAGGCACTAAATCATTAAAATGTATCCAGCCAAAGAAAACATCAAATTCTTTTTCACTTGGTTATTAGAAAACGATTATTTTTTAAATGGGAGAATAATTAAGAACAGATTTTTATTACTGACAGCTCAGGCAACATATGCAAGATTCAGAATAGTGACATTTGCAGTGATATAAATTTGATGCATCATTTTTCAATAGATGTAAGACTAGTGCCAATAACAGCAGATAACTAAGGGGCAAATTCTGCCCTTTGATCCATATCACACATCTCCAAAAACATAGTTGGAAGTTCCATTGGAAGATGGATCTAAACAATACTCTTATCTATCAAAAAAAGTTAAGTATTTTCTAAAAGTTAGCATTTACCATAGTACATTCTCAAAGCAGGGTTATTTTAAGCAAAATATGAGTATTTTTAGAATCAGACAAATTAGACATAGCCTCACTTCAGAAACAATAAACATTAAATGCAAAATATAATTTGGATATTTGGAAAATTTAACTTAGGGCTCACTAGTACTAGCACTGTTGCTAATATATTCAACCTGATGGTTTTGTGTGCAACATCAATTTCAACAAATCCTTGAGTTAAATTACTTTGATATTAACTTAGGGTGAAAAAATGCTGTGCAGATATTCCAGTCCAGTTCCTCAAAGGTGTTACATAAGCTTGTGTACACTGTTTGAATATGAAGGCCTAAGACATCAATGAATGAATTGCCTTTGTCCTTAAGAGGACCTCACCAACAACTATGAAATGAACTAAACTCTCTTAAATGAGGTCAAGACTTCTTTTAAATTAAAAGATGGGAAAGGCAAAGTCATTTTTCATTCTGGTATGAAGTTGTCATTGATTTCTCAAAAGAACCTGTGCAGGCCTATGTACTGCTCAACGTATTCCCCTAAATAGTCTGGGAACAGAATATATAGTGAGTTACTGAGGATTCAGCAAAGTAAAAACAATGGCCAGTTATAAAAACTGTCTATATGCCTATGTATATATTATACTGGTTACTGTTGTCCTGCAGAAATTAAGATTATGTAGCTACTGTGGCTACTTCTATGACAATATCTACTTGATGATCAAAACTGATTTAAAAAAAAATCCTATCACATATTATGACTGGTACTTCCATGTACTACAGAGTCTGTAGCTACGGTTGATTAACATCGCATACAATGACATGAAAGATAAGAGATGAAAGAGAAAAAAGCAACCAAACACAATAAGAAATATCTTCTGTATGAAAAGAATTTAGACTAGGATCCTTCAGGGAGGAAAGAGATGAATGGAGGAAAAATGATATAGGTAGAGGAAATCTTGGGTATCATGAACTAGGTAAATACAGTACTGTTATTTAGCATTTCTCTAAAAGCAAAAACTAAAGAATGTAGTATCTCTTCTACAACAAACAGGAAAGCCTTTTTACATGATATTCTGTTAAACCACAATACCATACTAGTCTTAAAAAATTCCTAATTCAAAAATTGATATAGATCTTGCAGGGTATCTTAAAAGAAATATCAGTGTAAGTTTGCCCTCTCATGCTTTATTTCTAATAATGCAACACAGGCTGGTGTTAGAGGTCAGATACTGAGAAACACTTGTAAGTTGACCTAGCAGCACCGTTCTTGTTGCCTTTTTATACTTTTATTCAATTACAGTTCAGAATAATGAATGGACCTGTTCACTAAACATCTTGGTGGTCCTGTGTGGGATCAGAAGTTGGACTCAGTGACCTTTACGGGTCCTTTCCAACTTGGGATATTCTATGATTCTCTGACTTAGAACAGGTTATAATGAGGATTTTCCTATGACATGTGTGAAAACTGTGCCTGTGACCTGATTCAGAAAGTTGTTTCATTTTGATCCTCAAACTGTATTCTAAAATTACATGCTATATGTGTCTATCAAGTATAGATCATAAATTATTTCTTTTTAGGCAAATTATATTTTTAGGCAGGCTGTATTTCTTCTGTCTTTACAAATTTTATTCTAAAGATAAATTATTCCATTTATGACTGTATTGATCAAATTTTCTGCATGCTGCAATGCATGTTTCAGCTACTGCAACCAGTTTTTGGAGGCTGTAGTTTTAGGAGATTAGGTTAGATTTTTCAAAAAAGAGTTTAGGAGCTAATAGTAAACAAACAGCAACTATCCCATACTGAGCAGCTTTTCCATCCAGCCAGGTCATTTAGCTGCCTAATGAGAGCTGAGGTCTCACGGATAAGCTACAGTAGAGTGCATCTCAGTGCATTAGGAAAGCGTTATTGACTGGTGCCTTGGGGTTCCTGAGGTGGTTTGTTCTGCTTTGAGCTCTGTGAAAGAGCTGAAGGCTCCCTCTTGTCTTCTGTGCGAATGAATCATCAGAGTGTGTGGGAATGTTTTCTCAGCACCATGCCTCTTCTGCCCTCTTCCACAAACCAAGTGACTTCACGTGTCTCTTCATATTAGCCCTTCAGCACACAAAGGCAACTGTCCCAGGGTAGCACTGCTGGCAGCAGCTGGTGACTGGCATGCAGGGGAGCATCTGACCTCTTACACTCATTCCTGATGGGGAGGATGAAGTCTCTAGGGAGATGACTGTCCTTTTCCTCCCATCAGGCAGCAAGAGTAATAGAAGTCAAACAGAAACTTACACAAATGGCAGACAAAACACTATTTGTGAATACAAGTCCCTTACGGTACTGCCTAGGGCATGAAGAAACACACTTGGAGACTTTAAAGCTTCCTAGCAAGGCGTTTACATTTTCCATTTGCTTTGCATTAGTTGAACACTACAGTATTCAAAGTGAATACACAACAGGAGAACACTTTTCGAAGGAAAGAAAAGTGGGGTAGTGAGTAGAAGAAGCATGATTAGAAATTCTGATTTACACAGAGAACTTTGCCTCTGTAATGGAACTGATTTTGATATCCAATTTATCTCTGCAATATATAAATATTGCTGTCCTGGCAAGAGATTGAATGACTATTATAATTTGGGGTTACTGCACTCAGGCACATTTGCATAAAACCACTGTTGGTCAGTGGTAAATCTGTCTCTGGCAGCAGTTTGTCTTCAGAGAGAAGGGACTCTACGGCTTGCTAAATGTAATCAAATCCTGGTAATCATCACACTGGAAATTTGTTGGCTCAAGTTAAAATAATGGATAAGAACATGAAAACTGGTGTGATGCCAGAGTATCCCTGAAAACCTCCTGAGCTCAATGGTCTGCACCACACAAATACTTCAGTATCTTCTCAGAACACTGGATGTATTAAAACTACTGTTTCCCATTGTGCAGGAATTTAGGGTCACTTCCATGACCATTGTACACTGTGCTAAGGATGCATT